TAACATGGCACCCCTCTTGTGTTAGAGCTCGCCAAGCCCAGGTTATTGAGCTGCGTTTCCAAGGTGAACAGGTGGTTCAGGTCAGAGCATCAGAAATTTTCCATTATCCTGCGATCAGTGACACACACCAGGCACAACTGCCTAATCACAATGCAAACATCCTGAGCCCCCGGCAAGACACTTGCCGTCCATTAATGAACTAGCTTTCTCCAGCCAACACTGCTTTTGCTGTGTCATGTTTCCCCCTGCCTTGTACTTTTATTGGCTAAATGGCTGCATCTGTCCTTCCAGCAGGGCACAGGAAATTTGGTTCTTTGAATCCAGAGTGGCCAAATTATCTAGCTGCAGCAATTTCCATGCAGGTGCACCTACTTTTCTACTTATCCTTTCTTAGCTGTTCTTCTGCTTTTCGATGGTTTGTGCTGAGAGAAAGAGCACGGTGCACGGATGATGTGAACTGTGCTGTCTCCTGCACTTGTTGTGCCCTTCACAAAGAAAACCATCCCCAGAAGGGGGTAAACCCGAGTGACAGCTCATCCTGTGGCAGGGACAGCTGCCCAGCTTCATTTGCACTTCCTCTAAGGAGAGCCCAAAAAAGCGCTCTCACAAAATCCCAAACTCTTGGTTGCTGTGCTGTGCTCCGAGGAGGGGAAGAGCAGCCTGACGTGTCCCTTCGTGTAAGCTCGCTCGCCAGCCGGGACGAGGAAAATGTTGTATTGAGGAAAATGATCTCCCCCATCACAGGAAAATGCTGGGTCTGGGTGCAGTGAGGTGAAGGGGTTTTACCAGACAAAGTTTTGAAAACAGATGCTTCTTTAGTGCCCTGATACGCAAAATTGCTTGTGAAGCTTGGTCGTTCTGATCTGATTTGCTTTGTCATTGTAATTTTCAAGTTTTCTCCTCCAAGAGAAACAGCCTATTACAACATTTAGGATCGTACTGATAAAAGCCAATTATATTTTCCTGTGACTATCAGCTACATTCTCCTACATAAAAAAAAGAAGGTAAGACAGTTCAAAATCTGCTTATCTGAGGGGCTGAGAGAGACTGGTAGGCCCTGCCTCCCTACCTTAACCTTTGCCATGTGTCAGAACAATTCTTCTCATGGTTCTAGAGATTTGTCTAGCATTAGAGTTAATTAATGTGCTAAAATACACTAAGCACTTCAGTTTGTAGGGTAACAATTTCAACAAAAAATTAATTTACCTCTTAAATTTTTCATCCTACAGTACTAACACATGTAAAAATATGCTTAAATTTCTTTTACTTGGTGTTTTGGGTTTTTTTTAAATGCACAGGAGCATTAAGCCATTTTGTTAGTTTAGCTAGTTGCACTCCAGACCCCCACACTGCCTAATAGTGGAACTGTGAGCACTGAAAGGGGAAATTCAGCTGCGTTGCTGATTGAAGAAAAGCCTGACTGTGGCAGCACAAAGTCCCTCAAGCACCCGTTCCTGAGGCTGCCAGTGGTTTGCACTATCTACCTGTAAAAGTTTGTGCCTGCACAGGATTGGAAATTGTATTAATTAAAAGAGCCAACATGAAACAGTGTGTTGAGCACGTCTGACAACCTCCGTTACCTAAGTAGAAAGCGGAGGGGAGGGTGGCCGGAGCTCTGGCCCGCCTGGCACCAGGCTGGTGGGCGTCACGGCCCCTCAGCCCCTGGCAGCACACACACACACACCACCACGGTTTCCTGAGGACATTTAAAAAGTGTATTTTGCTTCCAGGCTGGGAAGCACTGGCACCCCCTCACCTTCAGGGGAGTTATTTTGCAAAGGCAGGGAAGGGCTGGAGCGGAGGGGCCATGGTGGGAGGGCAGGAGGAGGGAAGCAGCTGCAGGGAGCGGGAGTGAATGTGCCAGGCCATACGCAACCAGCTGCTAATTCCTAGGCCAGCTCAAGAGTCAGCTGAGGCCAAAGGTGCCAAGTGAAATCTAATTTCTGGCAAAAGGGTATAAATAGCCATGGATACAAGTACCTGGTTTAGGGTAGGGAGTTCAGCTCCACCCCTTCTGGCTCTTTTTACCCTGAGGATTGCCCTGAACAGAACCCAATGCTTGGAGGACCCTCTCCTCGCCAAACCCTACAGGAACCGCAGCTGCCCAGCGGCACTGCCAATCCCCCCCCCACAGTTGAAAAGCCTCTCTGATGCAGAAGTTGCGGAATGGTTGGTTGTTTCTACTTTTAAGGAGTATTCCCACCCTGCCTTTTGAACCACGGCTCGCCCGTGTGAAAAATACCTTCTCTCTAACCTGCTTTCACGCTTCCCTCATCAATGCGCCTCTGTCCCGTTTCCAGCTGCAGGGCCCTTTCTCTGGAAGAGAAGCAGACGTCAGAGACCTCACACCTCTTCCCGGGCTTGCACTGCAGCAGAGGCTGCTGAGCAGCCATTCCGCAGGTGGGAACGCTGCACATCGCCCCCACCCCAGCTATTCTCTCTCTTTGGCTTCTGGCCCTTGGGTATTTGTGGGACCCATGAACTGCGGCGCCTCTGAACCCCTCGCTCCTGAGGCAGGAGCACAAAAGCCCCAAACGGAGGCGAAAAGCTGTCAGCATGGTTACGATTGCGACGTGGCACAGCCAAGGAATTCACAGGAACACCAGACATCTTCACGCCACGCCAGCCCTGCAGCAGCAAACGTATTTTTTGTGCCCGCGCATAGTTGTGTTCAATCCTTTGACCCGTTAGCAGAACAACAGATCCATCTAACCCTTTTGCTCATTTACAAATGGATTGTTAATAAGAAAAATGCAGAAGATGAAATGTAAGTAATAGAACTTAATAAACACTTAGAATATTTACCATCTTATTTCCAGGTAGAACACTAAGTGCTATGATCCCACATTAAGAAATACTCGCCCCTTTCAGAGTTGAAAAAAGACTAAAAGAACATAAAACTGTTTTCTTCATAACCTACAAATTTTCCAAATCAAGAATTTGAATATCATCATCCAAAGGCATGAACCTGATGTTTCACATCTGACTTCTACATGTAAACAGAAGTCTATCACAAGACCGGTGTGTGCATGTTAATGAAAAGTCATTTTACGCAACTCTTCAAACAACAATATTTAATCATTTTCACATCAAAATCACTTTGTAGCTCACCAGCATTTTCTGTTTTCCTTTAAATATAAACTCAAACATTTTAAAAAGCAGCAGTTTATATCCACAGGTTTAATGCATAACTGATCCTCTTTAAAAAGGGCAAATCCATATGCTATGTGAAATACTTTCTATTATTATAATAAAATCCAGCAAGAAGAGCGTGTATTTCTACAAACTCTCTTCTCCCAGAATAATAAACTTTCAAAACAAAGCATTTTCACAAAATCTTATTTAACCTTCTTTTACAAAGCATGATATATGTTGGACTTCTAACTTGGATTTATAAAATGACAAGTTATCATCTCAATGTGAGGAAAAAAAAAGGAATATAATCTGATATAAGGAAACTCCATGCCAAATACAGAGTTTCATTTGCAAAAAATGGAACATTTCTGAGATGTCTCTTATATTTCCAAGGTACAACTCAGGAATTGGTACTTTATTTACCACAGATGCAATAGCTTATCTTCTTCCAGCGATGTGATTAGGAAGCCAGAGCTGTTAATTTCTGGATGCGTGTTGCAAATGTATGACTACAAACTCAAACATAATTCTTATTCCTTATCACTCATTTCCTCCTGTTCTCCTAACTCTGCTACTAACTTCACAAAAAATATGGAAGTAATCTAGAAATCTTTATTGCTGGAAAGCTATGATGGGACTATCATCCTTTGTATAAAAAATATTTTAATGCAGTTATTTAGAAATGTTAAAGAAGAGCATTTCAGTGATAAAATAAGTTTATTAGTGCTTCTGTTTGAGTACACTGAGCAATGTATTGGGACTTTTAAAAAAAAGCTCAAGTTTCACTATCCGATCTTTCAATCTCAAACACCACCGTTACAACAGAAGCATGTGCTATGGTAGAGGAAATCATCCCAACAGTGAGGTTCTGTATTGCCAGTTGAGACCCATAAAGCAAGATTCGGGTATGGTGGCATGCGTACTTTACACATCTATGCATATCAAAAAGATTATGGGAACTCTGCTGACCAGGTGTGAACGTGGCCAGCAAACTGAACGCTATGTCTCATCCAGCTGCGGGCAGGCAGGGTGGTTAGCCATGATACGGGATGGGGCCAGCTCTAGCATTTGATGAGATGGCAAATAGATCCTTTGTGGGGGTTTTTTGGTCACTCTGAAGCATCACCAATACCACTCACCCACTCATTCCATGCTGTGCAAAAATACGCACTATTTAAATGCTTTAACAGAGATTGCCGACAAGGTACGAGATACCCCGCTGCTGGTAAAGAACACGCAAAACCACACACAGAAAAACGAGAGACCTTATTTTGAAAGGAGGAAAGCAAACAGAGAAACTGGAAGAAATGAAGTAAGCATTAGGTTCAATAAAATGACGAAAAGCAAGTCCTGCTGCAAAAACAGGACTATAAAGTGTATCGGTCCCTAAGCGTACAACATACTGTAGCAAACAATACCACATAAAACCAGCAAATGAAGCAATGTCACACGATAGAGGACCTTGTGCATGAAATAATACAACTTTTTATTTGTGTTTTATAGATTACTTTTATTTATTTTTGCTTTAATAATGCATATTCTGTTCACTCTGTGCAAAACTGGGGACAGAGGCGGGTGTTTAAGTCGTCTAATGAAAATCAAGCGGAGATGAACATTCAAGTTGAGGGAGAGGCCTATCAAAACCAGGAAAGCTAAAAAGCCACAGCTGCTCAAGACAAAGCTGCTCTCAGCTGCGCCCTTTTGTCCTGCCACCTTGCACAAACCTGGCTCTACTGACTGAGCAGCTGAACACTGAGAAGGTGACCTCCGCCGGACACCGGGGACAGGAGTCGTCGTGGTAGCTACATTAAGGAGACCTGGCTTGCAACCGGCTCCGGTCAGTGTGTGGCAAAGAAAGGCACAAATCATTGCAAAGACCAGATTTCTGTTGGTTTCTTTCCTTCTTGTAAATACATTGCTGTACACAACGTAAGTTTAAATTGGAGGGCATTTGGGGACGTAAAATTGCATATTTAACAGAACTTAAAACCATAACAAAAAGTAGGCTGTTCTATCTCAAAGCAAAAATAATCCCTCCAGCCCCAACGTTAACATTCATTCCTGGCTATATGCAGTACAAACATTTTAAAATCTGTGACAAAAGACAATTAAAAACCAAAAGTCAAAATCATAAAGCTTGTAAACAGATAATCTGAAATACACTTTATTTATGGAAAAATATCATCAAAATAGTACCACTATGGACTAAACTGCCTGAGTTTTCATTTCACCTAGGATCTTGAAGTAGAGAGCCTTTAGCACAAGAAGATCAATTTCAGTCACAACTAGTGCCGCACTGCACTGCGTCGGGTGGAAATTTTGTCCTTGCTGTTGGTGGTTTTGTTGTGCTATCAAAAACTGTTGTGCTAATCCTTCAGACAAAGGGTTGTTGAGGCAATTCTTAAATCATTTGGCACAAAGTTATTTTGGCTGGGGCATAAATTTGAGTCTCAGTCATGAAGAATAATGCAACATTCCACCTAGCAAGTATTCACTTTGATTGAAGAGCTTTCTTTATGTCATTAACTTCCATCTGAAAAGAAATAAGAAATATTTGTGATGAAATTAGATGCTTTAACAAACTGAGGCATAGTTGGTGCCCCTTGAAAAGCACATGTTCCATCTTGTCCACAGGTGTCGAGTACGGGTTTTATACTACTCTTTTTTCCTCAGATTTCACAAATTGAGGTAACCTCAGCTGTGTAAGATGACCACTCACAGCTTCCTCCCCTCAGAGCTTGACAACTATAGTCATTGAATGTACCACAAGGCCTTTCAAACTCTTGAAAGTACAACTTTTACAAGCCACGTGGCTCGCTGCCAGGAATTACTTGCAGAATGAGCACTGTGTCCATGCACCAGCTGCTGCACTTACAGCCAGCACAAGGAAACTGAACTGCTAACAATGAGCACTCGGAGCTGAGCAGCAAAACCTATTGTCGCTCTTCTGTAGGGACGGTTCTTGCCGTAGGGATGGCGGTTGTCTTCTACACCCATCAAGCCTGTGTCCAGGCACCTTAAAGGCTCTGCTCGATGTACAGCTGTGTGGTAAAAGGACTGTGGTTGAAACCATCATCAGCCCTAGTTGGATGCTTGGCCCCTCTGACAGACACTGGAAACTCTGAGGCAGGGGTATTAGATTTATTCAAACACACCCACAGTGCTCAACTGCGCTGTATCATCAAGACAGTCTTCTTTAATACATAGACGGAGAGCTGTGCTACTTTATGACCATCGGAGCACTCTTAAACTAATGCAACTTTTGCTTGTTGAACTCTCATCTTTATGTAAAGCTAATAATGCCACCTCGGCTAGCATCTGAACATTTATAGAATCATAGAATCATAGAATCTGTAAGGTTGCAAAAGACCTCTAAGATTGTCAAGTCCAACTGTCAACCCAACACCACCATGTCTACTCGCCCATGTCCCGAAGTGTCACATCTACACATTTTTTGAACACCTCCAGGGATGGTGACTCCACCACCTCTCTGGGCAGCCTGTTCCAATGCCTGACCACTCTTTTGGTGAAGAAAGTTTTCCTAATATCAATATATGATTCTACGATTCTATATGGAACAGTATTCCAACCATATCAACACTAAGACAAGCCTACTACAAAATATAAAGCTTTGGGAGACAGCAAACCATTTAAAAAGAAATTATTTCACTTGTGACAAAATGAAACTATTAACACTGAGACTAAAAATATCATAGTTTGAATCCTGTATTGTGTTTAATTATTTTTTTTAATTTGCCTACCTGTGCTGATAAAGTTTTAGGTAATTATCAGGCTTTTCAGTAAGAACCCAGTATTGCAATCTATATGACACAGACTGGCAACACTATGAAGGTAACAGGTGTATCCCTTTCAGAAATGTTAGTAATTTTTGATTCACTGGAATCTAAGTATCTAGCAGAGCTTTATGTCCTGTACCTGAGGCTAAATCGAACCTGCCAATACTTCCATAACATTATCAATATTTTAACTACCTGCAATCGTAGACGGATCTTCTTTTCTTCATCCAACTCAGACAGCAACTGTTTAATCTCTTTTCTGTTAAAAGAATGAAGAAAAAAAAAAAAAAAGCTTGCAATGAAAAGGAATAAATTAGTAAAATACAAAAGATCACCTCTTGGAGACGTATTTTCCTTGCTTCACTAG